GGGAGAGCCCCGGGTCCGCCTCAGGTGCGCGGCGGGCGCGGCCCCTCCCTCACCTGCGCTGCTGCTGCTGCTGCTGCTGCCGCCGCCCCCGCGCCCGGCTGGAGCCACGCAGCAGCGGCACCGCCACCCCTCCGCCGCCGCGGCTCCGCTCGGGCACCATCGCAGTGGGCAGGGAGCGGGATCGGGATGAGGAACGGGAGCGCGGTGAGGAACGGGAGCAGGAACCGGAGAAGGAACGAGAGCGGCACCGGGAGCGGCCGCGCCGCCGCCGCCTCCCCTCAGCCGCGCGGCTGCGGCTGCCATGGAAATCACAACCACGCCCTGATTGGTCGCGAGCCCCGATGTGTCGCGAGCAGCGGTTGGGCCGCCGCCGATGATTGACATGGGGAGGGGGCGTGGCTTTGGAGGAGCCCCGCCCCTCCCCGCACATCTGGCGCGCACAGCTGGCCGCGGGCGGGGCGCGCGCGCGCGCACATCTGGGCGGCGCCGTCTGCAGCGGGGACCGCACGTGCGCCAGCGGCGGCCCAGCTGTGCCGCACAGATGTTGGCGGCGGGGAGCCCCGCACAGCTCGGGCCGCCAGAACGCCCCCGTYGCTACCCGAAAATCATTCTTATTCTTGAGTATTTTAAAGAGAAAACTCTGTCCCCATTTCTGCCCTGCCCGCTTTGATTTTCATATTTAAACCAGCCAAAACACCCGGCCCCGCTGCCCTGGGCAAGCAGTTGAAGTGCAGCGCTACAGCTGCATAATTTTCCCATTAAAATCTCCCATAAATTGAGAAAAACTCCAAACGCTGTTAACAGGCACGAGGTGCTGACAGGCCGGCTCGGGGCTCAGGTGTCCCCTGGGGTCACASACCTGTTTTGAGGCAGACGGGAAGCGCCAGCCATGTGCCCACCATGTGTGCGACCCGGAAAACATCTGGAACAGMGTCAGGCTGGAGCAGGAGCCGGAGGCTGCGCCAGCTGCTGGCACCAATCCCAACCCCTCCGACCCACGGCTGGGGGAAGCGGCCGGGAAAGCAGTGAGGGTGACCTGCAGCAGCTCTGTGCCCCTGGAGCTGCAGCTTTAGGGAGAAATTTAGATTAACTCAGCTCTAAAAATGCGTGCCCTGAGGCCGTCCTCACCCCTTCACTCCCCGTGCTCCGGGCGGAACGCCGGGTTTAGATCCTCACAGTGGGCGAACAGGTTGAGCTGGATTTGTTAACGCGGCGATACGCAAAAGCTAAATCCGACTGAAAACATCTTCTCTCTTCACAAACAGAAACCCAGACGCAGAACAAACACCCTGCAGAAATGTCAGCGCTGCTGCAGGGTCACAGCGAATGGAACAAATCCAAGGGACATTTCCCAGATTTGTGTTCCTTGCCAAGTGATGGGGGGGAAGTCAGCCAAAGGGCTTTAACATCCCAAAATTCAGCCTGGGAAAWGCCACCGTGGAAGTGGAGAAGCGTCTCTGTCGAGAGGGGTGAACGCGGCTCAGCTCAGGTGCACTTTATTTGCTGAGAAAATCGGTATTTGCCATGTGTCCCTGACAGTGATGTGATAAACACATATTACAATGTTTGCTTTCGCAGATATTCGAAAGTGATAAATATCTGATATTGTTAACTTTTACAAATATTAGAGCGTTGTACACTATAATAGTGATTTTGCAAAAATAGTACACAAACATAATTATAAAATAGTTGTATTTGCAAAACTAAATGTGGTTTTTGCCTTTTTAAAATTATTAATTATTTCAATACTAAAGCTGGCTAAGAGCTGTTGCAATAATTGTYGTATTATAAATGTTGAAACTTATATTAAAAAGGAACTGATAACCAAGATGAAAATAACTGCACCTGACCATAAAGATGACTGTGCAACGACCTTTAAAATTTGCAAACTAGTGTAAAAAAAAGTTTTTAATAATATATATAATAGAAAAATATATTAAATATAATGTATAATAATTAAAATAATAACTGCATATAATTTATAATATAATTATAATAAATATATATAATTGCTTATGAATATATAGTTAACTAATGCATATAGAAACAATATATTTTAAAGTTGCTATTGTTAGCAACTGCGCCATAGCTACAGCTGTAGCTGTGGGCCCAGCGATGTCACTTTTGCTCTTTTGATTTTGTCCCCTATTGTCCCTTATTAAATTTYTAAAAATCAAACAGAGGAGTGGGCTTTGTTTCTCACAGTGACAATTATTCTGTGAAAAGCTCTGCCCTGGAAAGACCGAATTTCCAGAGTACCCAACACCTGTAAGGCTTTGAAACCTGCTCAGAGAGCTGCTGGGAGCACAGAAAAACCRTACAACTTCTTTCAGGAGGCAAAACCCCTTTTAAATTCCTTTTCCCTGACACTATTGATGAGGGATAAACGTCCTTTGCTCCCCGAGCGCTGCTGGAGCTGCACCAACGATTTACAGATGAAACGATCTGCGGCTCCCGCTTCCAGTAAGTTTGCCTCAATCCATTAAACAGCGCTTTTCCCGATGGCTTTATTGGCTTTTCTTTTACGGCTTTAACCGTGACTCACGCAGCTCCGTCCCTTTGAAAGCTTCCGATCAAACAGCGCCTCCAGGGAGCGAGAAACGAGGGAAAAGGGGGAAAGGAAGCGCTGCGGGATGCGGCAGATGGGAATCCTGGAGGCAGAGGGTGCTCCACGCTGGGCTTTTCTTTGATCAATGCTCACCCGGGAGCCACGGATTAAATAACCCATCAAATCTTGCACAAATATCGCCCCTGGCCATGTCTGAGTGCAGGATAAACACCCCGAGGAGGGGCAGCGTTATTGCTCAGCTGGGACATCTGCACTGCCTGGGCCTGGCTTGTTCCGGGAAATCGGGGATGATCCCCCTCGCTGGGGTGGGCACGGGGTGAAGGATGAGCCCAGGGGCAAAGGGGCAGCTCAGGAGGAGCAGGACAGTGCTGCAAGGCAACAATCCCATGGACATTCATAATTTGGGGTTTGCTGAGCTCCAAGAAGACCAGAAGTGGCTGTTTTTTCCCTATTTTCCATAGTTTTCCCTCATCACTGGCATGGCTTTTGGATGTTCCCATTCCAAGAGGAGCAGRAGYGGATCCTGGTGGCTGKTTTTYTYCCCKGTTTTCCATGGTTTTTCCTCATCATTGCCATGACTTTTAGTTGTTCCCATTCCAAGAAGAGCAGCAGTGGCTGTTTTTCCCATGGTTTTCCTGATTTTCACTCATCACTGCCTTGGCTTATGGGTTGTCCCCATTCCAAGARRAGCAGMAGTGGCTGTTTTCCCTATTTTCCATGGTTTTCCCTCATCACTGGCATGGCTGATGGGTTGTTGCTATTCCAAGAGGAGCAGAAGTGGCTGGTTTTTCCCTGTTTTCCATGGTTTTCCCTTATCATTGCCACAACTCTTGGTTGTTCCCGTTCCAAGAGGAGCAGCAGTGGCTGTTTTTCCCATGGTTTTCCCAATTTTCCCTCATCACTGACATAGCTGATGGTTGTTCCCATTCCAAGAGGAGCAGAAGTGGGTCCTGGTGGCTGTTCTTCCCTTTTTCCCARTTTTCCCTCAYCACTGACAYAGCTGATGGTTATTCCCATTCCAAGAGGAGCAGTAGTGGCTGTTTTTCCCCATTTTCCTGGTTTCCCCCCATCATTGCCAGGGCTTTTGGTCACTCCCRTTCCAAGAGGAGCAGAARTGGCTGCTTTCCCCTGGTTTTTCCTGTTTTCCCTGGTTTTCCCTCCTCACTGACACAGCTGATGGGTTGTTCCCATTCCAAGAGGACCAGAAGTGGCCATTTTCCCGTTTTCCATGATTTTCCTGATCTTCCCTCATCACCGCCATGGCTTTTGGGTTGTTCCCATCCCAAAAGGAGCAGAAGTGGCTGTTTTTTCCCAATTTTCTCTCTTCACTGACCCAGCTTATGGGCTGTTCCCATTCAAAGAAGACCAGAAGTGGCAGTTTTTCCCTGTTTCCCATGGTTTTCCCAATTTTCCCTCATCACTGACACAGTTTATGGTTGTTCCCATGYTCTCAGCTCCAGCTGTGCCTGGGATTGCCGGTGGCAGGAGGAAGAAAGATCATCCCTGAATTCTGGTGCTGTTCAGGACCTTAAATCAAACTCTTTGTTCATTTTTTATTCCACATATCAGCCACAACATCACCCAGGCTTCTCTCCCGGTGCAGGGAGGCTGCAGGAGCCTCAGGAAGCTCCGTTTGTTCCAGTTCCAGCCCCAGGGATGGATTTTCCTGCCTCACACCCACCCCAGGGCCTTCCCAGGGAGCAGAATCTCTCCTGCCACCCCAGTCCTGCTGCCCTGACCCCTCCCAGCCACAGCTCTGGCACATTCACAGGCAAAAATCAATTTTTTTCTTTCCCCGAACTTCCAAATCCGATGCTTTTCCTGACTCCAGCTCCGCTCCAAAAATATTCCTGAATTCAAATCCGGTGTGATTTTTAAAAGCTTGCCGCTCCACATAGCCTGGACCCCATCCAGGACCATTTTACCTTAATTCCACCTCCCAGTCCTTGGAATGTGAGGAATTTCCCCCTGGCTCTGTCCAGCTCATTCCAGCAGCCCAGAGCAGGGTGAGCTTAGGGAGCTCTTGCCAGAAGTGTTAAATGGGACTTTTTTCCTCGAAAAAACCTCGGCAGCAATTGCACAACCCCGTTTTGTGTCTCACCCCAGGAGGATCTCTGAGCTCTCCTGATTCTCGTGATTTTCATCCTAAAGGGAGTTYGGAAAGGCAGGAGAGGGTGAGTGGCTCTGAAAATCTTTCATTGTGGAAGTTTTGGAGCMTTGAGAGGACAAATTGAAGGGCTGGAGGGATTTGAAGTGATAAAACACATACAAATCAATAGGGCTGGATTTCATTTTGTCCTGTGGAAACTGATTTGGCTTTGGGGCAGAATTCCCAAATCCCAAACCCTTGGCTCTGTGTCAGATGTGCCTGAGTCAATCCTGGTTTCTGGGCCTTTCTGGAAGGGAAGAAAACACCAGGTTAAGGATGGGTTTGGCACCTTCTTGATGAAGGGAATCGCCAGTTCTTCAATCAGAATCGACTTCGAAACCTCAGTGTTGCCTTGGAGGATCCCAGGGCAAAATCCCTCCCCAAATCCCAGCCTTGGGCTGAGAGTGATCCCAGAAATCCCAAAACAGGGGCTGGAAATGGGAATCACTCACTCCTGGCTGCACAACAGGGAACAACAGGGTGATCCCAGAAATCCCAAAAGAGGGACTGGGAATAGGAATCACCTATTCCTGGCTGCAGGATGGGGAACAACAGGGTGATCCCAGAAATCCCAAAACAGGCT